TCGGATTTTTTTTTTTATTTTTTTTATTCAATGTCACAAAACAAAAATGACCATGTTCAAGTCTTAAAGTCATCCTGAGGCCTTAGCTTTGGTTTCAAATTACACAACATCATGTATGTGTTGCTTCTTTGGGGCTTGTTTTCATAGACCTGGTTGCTTATTTCTCTCAAATCTGGTAACAGAGTGGGCAGGGCGCAGTGTCTAATTGTAGCAGTAAGCTAACGAGTACTGATAAGCTTTATTTTGTTTTGATCCAATGCTGCACAACTGAACTGATCCAATGCTGCTGTGAAAAAAAGAAGCTATATCCATGTTGGATAGAATATCCAATTTAAATAAAAAAAATAACCTTAAGAGACAACTTGAATGATTTTTTTTCTTTTTTTTCTCTTAATGCATTGCATAAAGATCGGATCGGGAAAAATCGGTATCGGCAAATTGTCAAAATCAAATGATCGGGATCGGGAGCAAAAAAAGGTGATTGGGACATCCCTAGAAAAAATAGATCCCTTTAGAAACAAAAATGCTTTGAAGATTTTGGTTTTCGTTGCATTGTTACATCCCAAAATGTTAGTGGTTAAATTAAAGTCTTTATGATTTTTGTTTCTGTCCCTTCAGATCAGTGTGACCCTGGTTTATCGCTGTCACCAGGGAGGAGTGTCATGGCGGAGCCCGACTACCTGGAGGGAGACTGTGATGAGCTCATCAAACCCAAGAAGCTGATCAACCCGGTGAAGAACTCTCGTAACCACCAGGACCTGCACCGAGAGCTGCTCATGAACCAGAAGAGGTCAGAAAGACACACTCTCTCTCCCTTGGTTTCTTCTTTATTTGATTTGGTTCATCCATGTGGTCATCCCCAGGTTCCTCTTACTTTACATTCAGCAACCCAACATGTTATCATGTTTTATAGCACATCAACAAATCAGTTTATTTTCCAAGCCTATGAATGGAGATAATGTTTTATTCATTTATTGGATTGTAAAACTGTGTTTATGTCCAGCACCTTCCAGATCATCATAATTTCCTTGTTTATTTTTGGCAACAAGACATTTGCTTACCATCCAAAGTAGGTTAAATTGTGGAACCAAAACAAGATTCAAGGCTTTATTGTCATGCGCACAGTAGCTACAGTGTTGATATGGCAATGAAAAACTTAGGTCACAGGTTCCTCCAACAATGCAACATGAATATATATATATAGGACATGGAACAAATATAACACAGTCCAGATCTGGGCTAATTTACTGATGGAGGAGGAGTTAAAACAGTTAGCATGCTACTTTCTTGTAATTGGTCTGATAGTATCCATGCAGACTGTGTTGATGCGTCTGCAGTGTGTCACTAGTTGACTTCATTGGTCCCCCACCCAACCTCCAGCAGCATTATAATGTAAAGCACAGGATATCAAACTTTCATAGCGAGCTATTATATATATAACCCCAAGTGCATTAGTGTATCAAAAACGAGTTATGCAAAGGTCACAGATGTACTGCAAGGGGTGAATGTGGTCTAGCTGCAGATTCCGGATCATACAACACAGGTTTTAATGCGGAGTGTGTGTGTGTGTGTGTGTGTGTGTGTGTGTGAGAGCATCCAGGCATCAGTTAAAACACCCAGCATACTGCGGCCTGAGCTCACCCTTTTGACACTAAATGTTTGCATTTTCTCTCACCACACAGTGGCAGCAGCCTTGTGCCTGAGCTATAAATAGCTATGTAAACACACATGCTGTTGACAGCTGTTACATCACATGAGCGATGCTCAGTCCTCAACAGATCAAATAGTGAGGTGCTTTTGTAATGATGGAGGCAGGGCATTAATTAATGATGGAAAACGGGCAGGGTGGGAAGGATTAAGAAGGGCCATGCGAGGAATGTAATAAAATAATATTAGAAAGAGGCTGCTGGATGTTGTATCTATTGGTGTAGACGGAGAATGTCCCAGAGTGAGATACATCTATCGGGCTTTTGGGGGGATATGCTTGTTATGACGGGGCTTTCAGTCGTGTACTGGAAGTAGAGAAAGCTTGCCTGCGTAGTGGATTAGTCACGCTGGCGAGAGTGCTGAGGGTGGGGTGGGTGGATGCATGCATGGATTGATGGATTGTCTGCATGAACAGAGGAAAATACTTTATGTAATATAGATTACAAAGCAGTCTCCAGCTGAGAGCCTTTCTCTGCCTTTGCTACCTAGCTGTGGTAACTCTTCCTACACACAATCGTATATATAAACAGGAGAGTTTCAGAACTTCATCCACCCAAACTGGTGACTCATTGGAGCAGATGAAGGTAATGGATGCGTAGGATTTAGAACATACATTCTTCGCAGTTTGCTACATGAAGGGGGTCATGGATGTGGGGGTTAGTTATGATGTAAATGATGCCAACATAAAAAGGAGAGTGGAGTCAGCATCTTTACAGCCTGTCTTATTGCTTTCAGTGACCTTGACCCTCCTCCCTTCCTGTGCGTGGTGTTTGCAAACAGCCCAACCTGACCTTGTCTTTGACCCCCTGCTCTGATTCAGCCCGTTAAGTGCCGTCACGAGACCCTCACCGTCAGGAAAAGCAGGGCATTTAACTAGTGCCCTCTTGTTAATGAACTCCCACTCGGAACACCGGGGGCTCGGTTATGCAACCTTCAGGATTTCATGAAACATTTAATTAAGACATTGTTGTTGCTGAGCAGCAGTCAGCTACGCACACTGTTTTCTTTCAACAACAGAGGCAGCCTGTGCAGAGTCAGGCTTTCATCGCTAAAGGAAATATTATGAGGAGAGTAAAGTCATCTGAATAATATGTTTTTTGAACACCTGAATCAAGGACATGGATAATATATTTTAGAAAAATTGATAGCCTCTGTCCTTTTACTGCATTTTTGTCCTGTTTGGCTTCTGCCTTAGCTTACTCCAACGCATCTCTGTTCCCTCTGTCTTAAGTGCCCCTTCTCCCGACCCTAATCCTTAAGCCCCCCTCTTCTCTCTGGTAATTTGGAGGAGTTTATGTTGCATAACATTTGACATTTTTCTCTTTTTTGAAAGTCACGCTCAGACTTTACAAGAAGACCAATTGTTCAGAGTTGCTGCACAAACCCATGCAGCTGTGTAGGATTGTAATCACAGTTATGTATCACCCAAAGACGGCTACCTTGTGAGGAATATTTGAGATATAAAGACATGTTTTTTTATGTTTGGAAGAGAAGAAAAAGAGCAACGTTCAAACAGTCTTTTCTAAAGTCAGTTGCAATGTTGGCCACCACCACCTACATAGACTGGTAAACATGGAACAATCTGTGACTGGGCTCCAAATCAAAACTTCCTGAAACACGAATGACATGATTAATACAGAAAATCTAATTCAGATCTGCATGTCAAATTAGGATGAGGTCACGGACATCATCTGTTACGCATGGATGTGAATGCTAATCTCCCTCTGAGTGGGGCTGTGTAGTGACATCATAAAGCTTTGCTTTAGTAACATGCTGTCTCTCTGATTCTGCACAGGGGTCTGGCTGCTCAAAACAAACCTGAGCTCCAGAAAGTTCTGGAGAAGAGAAAGAGGGAACAAGTTCTCAAGGCTCAGAAAGAGGAGCAGGAAGCCCACAAGAAGAGGAGCGACCTGGAGATAGAGCTCATGAAAAGACAACAGAAACTAGAGCAGGTGAATAATCAAAACATAAACATTTAGCATTTACATGGATGAAGATACTTACCGTATCTAATCACAAGAGATGATGCATTTATGTATAGATATTGCTATTAACAGATTAAAACGTCTATAATTAGTTTAATCAGAATGTCTTTGTTCTTGCAGCTGGAGCTGGAGCAACAGAAAAATGAGGATGAACAGGAGAACACCCCGGAGTTTGTGAAGATGAAGAGCAACCTGCGCAGGACCAAGCAGGAGACCGACGGGGAGGAACGGACCACCTAAAAACCAGCAGGGGTGTCTGGGTCTGGCTGATTGTGCGCGTGTTTGTGGACACGGAGACGTCAGGAGAGTGTGTGTACAAAAAAGAGAGAGAGTGTGGTCCAGGTGCACGCTGATGACCTGGCCATGGTCCAAGATGAACTTCCTGGCTTACCCCACCTAGCAGATCATTCCCGCAGTGAGGAGAGAGACTTTACTGACTAAAGACCCCACTCTGCCTGCCTGCCATGGACCGCCAGTACTCACCTCTGCTCCTCGCACCCATCCGGCAGCACACAGCACCCCCTGCAGGAGGGACCTAACACAGACATGTTACATGTAAAACGCCTTTCAGCAAGGGCGCGCAAGCTTCCAATGAGCTCTGATGGAGAAAACAACCAAACACACACACACACACACACACAGGAGTTTTCATCCCCTCTGTTTTCACTCCTTACTCCACAGAAAGCTGTTGATCTCTTTACTGTTATCAATGTTGTTCTTGTTGTTGTTGTTTTTTTTGTTCTCACCTTCAGAATCAAATAAGGAAAAGTGGACACTGGATGGACTCTTGAAGCTGTGTAATGTAAAAGCCAAACATTTGTGCTTTTCTTATTTATGTTTGTAGCTTTTAGCCCAGGTATAGGGGTGGACACTTTTTTTAGTTGTTCTGTATTTTTAGTTTGTTTAACAGCATAGTTTATGAAGCCAGAACAGGACAAAGGGAGTGCACAGTTGTGAGAAACGCTCATCATGTTTGCTTTATTTTTATTATTTTTAAATTCCAAACATGCCATTTCCTCAGCTAATGCAATTGTGAGCAATAGTAGAACTCCCAGGCATGAGTGACTTTTTCTTTATATACTCTGTTGTTTTGTATGAAAAAAGTGTTACTTAATAAATAATTTAAGTTTTTGTTAGGGTGGTCAATATGAATAAGCCTTTTGCTTCCTGTCCGATCAGTCAATCTACTCGGCTCCTGAAACAACTCTGATAAGTGTTTTGGAACTTTATCACTGCAGTATTTTGTCCATAACAATTGAGCCATAGATTTGTAAAGCTAATTTAAATCAGTGAATCTGAATAAAAGTGTAATTACAATGCCCTAAATGGCATACGTAGTGGTTATTTAAATATTTCACACAATGATATCATGGGTCTACAATTCTGGTGTGTGGGTCTCGAAGAGATGATGGCTATTATTCTAATTGGAAGAATCAGATTTATAATGACATAACCCTGTGTTCTCCAGAATTCTCTTTTTAATAAACATCATTTTAACACGTTCCACTTATTTTCTTTATTTTGTGTGCCGCTGAAGTCTGTGGATTGTGATTTTTTTTTTCTCAATTGAAAGTGATCTTTAAACACAGAGAAGCAGTACGACCGTAAATAACATGATGAGCTAAACTTATTATTCTGAAATGTACTTAGAACAGAAACAGGGCAAGGTTAAATAGACGGGCAAAGTAGTGTGACAATGCTGGCAAAGCTGATGAGAGGGGTCAGGAAAATATATTTATTAGATAAGGAGTTCCTTTCTTTAAATGATTGTAGTAAATCAAGGATAGGCCCATTTTAAAATAACATTATAAATATGAAATTGCTGGATGATGTATTGATATATAGCATTGTGTTAATGTTGCAGCTGGTAAGGTTTTAGATGTCAATTGGGTAGCATGTGAATTATGTCCCGGTAATCAATATACTATATATGATCCCAATCTTAAGAAAATACTATCCAGGTAGAAAATAATCAACTCAAAAGGAGTTGTAAATAATTTACTAATCTCAACTAAGATACATGTTTTTTTTCCAATTGCATTAAAAAAGATCATTATTTTATTTGAGTTAATTAAGTTGAAAGGTGAGAGAAAAAAAGTTTAGGCCTGTTGGTTTTCAGTTTTTAAAGAAGAGGAAGGATTAGAGTAAAACAATCACCATTTCATCATGGAAATAAAATAGGACACAGTAATCTGAACAGCATGCACACAGGTAAATACTTGCAGTAGTGGACGAGGCAGAATTAAATGAAAATGAAATGGAATGTTGGTAAGCTCCATAAAGGGGTATTTTTCAGACTGCAAAGAAAAGGATCTCCACAAGAGGACAGCAGTAGATAACTGGACGCCAGCTGCTCTTAACCCCAGTGGAGGGCAGTGAAGAGCTACTGATGCCGCTTAAATCCACGAAGAATAATTCAACCTGTGCTGATCAGTAAGCGACAAACATGGCCGCCTGTGGGCTACTCCGTTCCCTGTCTTCCAACTTTTTCACAGTTTTGCCATTACTCAACCGCTCGGTAACACTTTCACCGTTGCGGCTGGCATCTACACCTTACTTTGGAAGAACCATAACCACTTCTAGTCGAGTAACAGCAGGTATTGCCTTTTGCATGTCTTTTATTGTAGCACATTTAGCTAACATCTTCGGTAGCTAGAGGGTAACATTAGCTATGTAAGAGGACACGACACTGCTGTTTGCATCTGTTGTTTTTCTTGTTGTCAAACTTAACAACTACTAACTACATCAACTACAAAATACTCCAAAGTCTTCTACCAGGGTGCTGTTTGTGTTCTGAAGTTGTGTTTTTTTGCAGATCTTAAATTCACAGACAAGCACGAATGGATCCGGGTAGAAGACGACGGGAATGGGACTGTCGGTATCAGCAAGTTTGCGCAAGTAAGTTCCCATGTCACACAGACATTAGTGCATGCAAAAGTTCACCATTTTTTTTGCAATATCGTTTGACCTTGCTCTCTGCCACTTGCAGGAGGCTCTGGGGGATGTAGTTTACTGTGGACTGCCAGAGGTGGGGACACAGCTGGCTCAGCAAGGTATGGAGTTCAGGGCAGCTAAGGTTTTTGGAAAGGTCATACACTACACGATTTAGTTTATCAGATTTGAAAACGAATTCACCAGATGTATTGATAACTAAAAATCAGCAACCCTAATTTCATGCATTTTATTTCACACTTACCTTTTTAATAATAATATGAATACATTTTATTTCGAGGCGCCTTTCATTACACCCTAGGACACTTAACAATTCCTAAAATACAATACATCTAATCACTTGGTGGTGAAAATAAAATAACTTTCTGCTCAATAGTTGTTAATGCTAATATGTCAATTTAAGGATTTGAGACTTTTTAGATTACTAGCACTGTGTGTTTTTGGCACTATGTAACAAAATGCTTTCTCTGCATTTGACCCATCCTAGTGTTAGGAGCAGTGGGTTGCCATTATGAACGGTGCCTGGGGAGGAGTGTAGGAAACGGTGCCTTGCTCAGGGACACCTCGGTAGCACTTGGTCTTGCCGGGACTTGAACTGGTTA